TATATAGAAACACGGGTTTATTTATTTATTTATTTTAAAGAAAGAAAGAGAAAGAGAAAGGCGGAGAGAGAACAGGAGTCTTGCTCTATTGCCCAGGCTGGAATGCAATCTAAAAATAGGTATTAAAAACCTCTTTTATGCTGATAATTGTGTTTAACAGTGGAGACAGGAAGGAATAAGGGAAGAAAATAACAAACAAACAGCCAACCAATATTTCATTTAAGTCTTTGAAATGCTATGCAAATGCTAACGAGTGATTTATTTCCAATTATGTGGTCACTTTCAAAATAGGTGTAATGTGATACTGAGAAAAATGTATGTTCTATGGACCTGGAGTGAAGAATTCTATAAATATTTACTGAGTTTACTTGTTCCAGGTCTGAATTAAAATCATAGATGTCCCTATTATTTTTCTATCTCATTGATCTGTCTAATATTAACAATGTGGTGTCAAAGTCTCCCGCTATTATTGTGCAGGAGTCCAAGTCTCTTTATAAGTCATTAAGAACTTGTCTTATGTATCTGGGTGTTCCTATATTGGGTGCATATATATTTATGATCATTGGCTCCTGTTGTTGCATTGATCCTTTTACCATTATGTAATGTCTTTTTTTGTTTCTTTTAGTCTTTGTTATTATTAAAATTTATTTTGCCAGAGACGAAAGTTACAACTCTTGTTTTTTTGTTTTTGGTTTTTTTTTTTTTTTTTTTTTTTTTTGCTCTCCATTTGATTGGTAAGTCTTCCTCCAACCCTTTGTTTTGAGTCTTTATGTGTCCTTGCTTATGAGATGGATCTGGATACAGCATACTGATGGGTTTTGACTTTTTATTCAGTTTGCCTGTCTGTGTCTTTGATTGGGGCATTTAATCCATTTAAATTTAGGATTAATATTGATATTTGTGAGTTTAATATTGTTGTTTAATGCTAGCTGACTATTTTGCCCATTAGTTGATACAGATTCTTCATTATGGAGATACTCTTTACCTTTTGGTAAGTTTTGGGGATGACTGATACTGGTTGTTCCTTTCTGTGTATAGTGCTTCTTTCAGAACTCTTGTAAAGCAGGCCTGGTGGTGATGAAATCTCTGAGTACTTGCATGTTCATGAAAAAATTTGTTTTTCCTTCATTTATGAAGCTTAATTTGGCTGTATATGAGATTCTGGGTTGAAAATTCTTTTCTTTGAGGATATTGAATACTGAAACCCACTCTCTTCTAGTTTGTAGGGTTTCAGCTGAGAGATCTGCTCTGAGTCTGATAGGCTTCCCTTTATGGGTAACCTGACCTTTCTCTCTAGCTGCCCTTAAAATTTTCTCCTTTATTTCAACCCTGGTGAATCTAATGATTATATGTCTTGGGGTTGCTCTACTTGAGGAATATCTTTGTGGTGTTCCCCGTATTACCTGAAGTTGAGTATTATCCTGACTTACTAGGTTAGGAAAGTTTTCCTGAATATTATCCTGAAGAATATTTTCCAGCTTGGATTCATTCTCTTTATGACATTCAGGTACACCTATCAAAAGTAAATTAGGTCTTTTCACATAGTCCCATATTTCTTGAAGACTTTGCTCATTTCTTTTTACTCTTTCTTCTCTAACCTTGTCTTCTCGTTTCATTTCATTAAGTTGGTCTTCGACCTATGATATCCTTTCTTCTGTTTGATCAATTTGACTGTTAAAACCTGTGCATACTTCGTGGAGTTCTCATATTGTATTCTTCAGTTCCATTAATTAACTTATATTCCTCTCTAGATTGTCTAAACTGTTGTCAAATGTGTTTGGACCACGTTATAGTCCCATCAACAGTATATATGAGTTCCATTTCCTAAGCATCTTTACCAAAATCAGTCTTTTTAAAATTTTAGCCATTCTAGTAGGTGTGTAATGGAATCACATTGTGATTTTAATTTGCTTTACCCTTATTACTAATGGTGTTGAGCATTTTTCATGTGCTTATTGGCCATTTGTATATCTTCTTTAGTGAAGTGTCTGTTCAAAATTTTTGCTCATTTCTGGGAATTCTTTTCTTACTATTGAGTTTTGAAAGTTTTTCCTATATTCTGGCCAAGAGTCATGTATCAAACACATGATTTGAAAACACTGTCTACCCAATTCATGTCTTTCATTCTCCAAGCAGTTTCCACTGCAGAACAAAAGTTGTTAATTTTGATGAAGTCCAGTTTACCAATTTTTGTTAATGAATGGTGATTTTGGTGTCATATCCAAGAAAGTATTATGTAACCCAGTGTTATCTCCTATATTTTTCTGTGCCTATTTAGATGAATCATGCAATTTTTCTTTTTAGTTTGTTAATGTGGCAAATTGCAACCTTTTTCAAATGTTTACTTAATCTTGCATTCCTGAAATAAACCTCACTTAGTAATTCTGTATAATCATTTTTACATAGTTTTTATTAGATTTGCAAAAAAAATTAACAATTGCTATGTATGGTTATAAGAAATAGTAACCTGTATTTTCTTTCCATGTAATATCTTTTTTTTCCTTTTTAATTGAAACAAGGTCTCACTCTGTCACCCAGAGGGTAGTTCCACAGTCATGGATCAGCTCACTGCAGCTTGACCTCCACTGCAGGGTCAGGGTGCTCTTTCCACATCAGCCTACATGTGCATGCCACCATGCCAAAATTTTTTGTATTTTTTGTAGAGATGGGATTTTACCATGTTTCCCAGACTGGCCTCAAACTCTGGGACTCAAGCCATTCACCTACCTCAACCTCCCAAAGAGGTTTCCTAATTTATTCTGCAAGGCCAAAAGTACTCTTACACCCAAACAAAGAAACAAAAAATATTAATATCCAAAGTACTCATAAACTCAAAAATTAAATATCTTTTTTTGTTGCTCAAGTATATGAGCATTTTTGGCCTCATAGAATGAGTTAGGAAGTATTTCCCTATTTTCAATTTTCTGGAAGAGTTTGTAGGGAATTGGTATTATTTCTGCTTTAAATGTTTGTTGGAATTCACCAATGATACCATCTGAAACTGTTTTCATTGTGGTAAGGTTCTTCATTACAAATTCTGTCTTTCATAGGCATAGGTCTATTCTGTTTATTTCTTCTTTAATGAGCTTGGTGGTTTGTGTCTTTGAAAGAATTTATTCATTTGATTTAAGTTGTCTAATTTATTGGCATAATGTTGTTCATAATTGTTAAGTCAGAAACTGTCAGAAGTCAGAGATTTTATCCTATTTGCCAGCCAGTAAGTTAGCCTGCCACAGTTGTATAGATATATAAACATAGATATCTTGACAGGAGAAAAAAAGGTTTTCTGGATAAGACAAATAATTTATTATTTACAGCAAAAACAGCCAGAGCAGCTTCTTTCTGGAGCAATTTCTCCAGCTCCAGTCTCCATGGGCCAACATAAATGAGAGTGAGGTATTACTTGTGCATGTAACAAATGCATCCAAGGAGAGGAATTCTAAAGTTATGTGGTTCAGAACTTATAAATGGACTGCTGGCATATAAGCCCATTTTCTTTTATGGAGAGAAAGAGAGTATGTTTTATTCAGAAATATAAACAAATCCTCTCCAGAAAAGAAGGAGAAGATCTTTATCTTTACTATCTTGGAATGTAAGCAAATGTCTCCAGAGGAGACAAATCTCTACATTTCTACCTTTCAAGACCTTTGCTGTTCAGACATTACCCCTTGCTTTAAATATATGAATCATAAAGTAATGTGAAAATGTTCATGGAGATACATCCTATTATAAACACAACAAACTCCTGTCCTCAGGGGAAGCCACTCAAAAATACATCTGGCTACTATATCAAGAGGCAATGTCATAAGACCACTATTATCTAGAGGATGTCCAGGCTCCCTGTAATTTGATCAGAGGAATCTGATTCAAGTATATAGATTCATTCCATGTTGTAGCCATGCAACCCCTGGGGCCCCATCACCTCTACAATCTAGGATTAGGTTTCACATCCAGTTTCCAATCAAAAGAAGAAAAAGAATGTCGGAAAGGCCTAGCTTCTCTCTTAAAGGACTGTGGTAGCCATCCTCCAAGATGCACCCCCACCATGAATGAATCACACCTCTTGATGTCTACTTTTTCTCTATTATTCTCCCACATTGAATGGAGCTGACCTGTATAACCAATCTGATATTTTGGTAATGATCACATATGACTTTCGGCCAGGTAACAAAAGATATTGCAGCTTCTCCTTTCCTCTCTTGGGTCACTTGCTGTGGGGAAAGACAGCTGTCATGTTATGAAGACACTCAAGTAGTCTTTTCAGGAGATGCGTATGGTTTAAAAAAAATAAAAAACAAAAAAACTAAGGTATCCTTCCAAAGGCCACATGAATAAGTCATTTTGAAAGTGGAACCTCCAGTTCCAGCAAAGCCTTCAGATAACGGTAGCCCCATTGCCATCTTGACTACAACCAAGACCCTGACACAGCAAAGCAAACTCTGAATTTGCAACCCCATAGAAACTGTCTGAAATAATGTTTATTGTTATTTTAGGCCATAATTTGTACAGCAAGAGATAACTAATATAATGATATGCATTACTTCCATTCACATTTCATTGGTAAGAATTAACTTGGACCACTTATGACCAAGAGAGTGTAAGAAATGTAGTTTAGCCATATACCCAGTAAGAAAAGGAGAAAAGCTTTTGGTGGAGAGCTGGTATTATCTGCAAAATACATTCTAATATCTCAACATTATCTATCCTGTACATCAGTTTCTCCTTTATTTTAGGTTCAGGGTACATGTGAAAGTTTGTTACACAGGTAAACTTATGTCATGAAGGTTTGTTGTACAGATTATTTTATCACCTAGGCATTAAGTCTGTATGCGATAGTTATATTTTCTGCTCCTCTCCCTTCTCCTACCCTCCACTCTCAAGTAGATCCCAGTATCTGTTGTTTCTTTATGTTTATAAGTTCTTATCATTTAGCTCCCACTTATAAGTGAGAACATGTAGTATTTGGTTTTCTGTTCTGGTGTCAGTTTGCTAAGGATAATAGTATCCAGATCCATCCATGTTCCGGCAAAAGACATGCTCTCATTCTCTTTTATGGCTGTATAGTATACCATGATTTATATATACTACATTTTCTTTATCCAGTCTACTATTAATGGGCATTTAGGTTAATTCCATGTCGTTTCTATTCTGAACAGTGCTGCAATGAACATTCATGTGGATGTGTCTTTATGATAGAACGATTTATATTCCTCTGGGTATATGCTTAGGATTAGGATTACTGAGTTGAATGGTAGTTCTGCTTTTAAATCTGGGTATATGCTTAGGAATGGGATTGTTGAGTCGAATGGTAGTTCTGCTTTTAGGTCTTTGAGGAATTCCCGTATGTTTTCCACAATGGCTGTACTCTCAACAACAGTATATAAGTGTTCCCTTCTCTATAACCTTGCCAGCATCTGTTATGTTTTTAACATATTAATAATATCAATTCTAACTGGTGTGAGATGGTATCTCATTGTGATTTTGATTTACATTTGTCTAATGATAAGTCATATTGAGCTTTTTTTCATATGCTTGTTGGTCTCCTGTATGTTTTTTTCAAGAAATGTCTGTTCATGTTCTTTAGTCACTTTTTAGTGGGGTTGTTTGGTTTTCTCTTGTAAATTTAAGTTCCTTAGATAAATTTAGACATTTGTCAGATATATAGTTTGCAAATATTTTATCCTGTTCTGTAGGTTGTTTATTCTGTTGATAGTTTCTTTTGCTGTGCAGAAGCATTAGACCCCACGTTTCAATTTTTGCTTTTTGTCACAATTGCTTTTGGTGTCTTTGTAATGAAACAATTGATCATTCCCATGTGCAAGATGGTATTGCCTATGTTGTCAGAAATCCTAAATTTTAGTGACAATTAGCCATTTCTGCCATAGCTGACTTGTGTTAAATGCCCACACTTGAACCAAAGAATAGAGTCCAGGAAGCAGAATTAAATTTTACTAGTATGATGGCCATGATGGTATACAAATGGATGGGGATAGCAGTTCTCAGAAGATTTGTGTGGTGGGGTACTGAGTAGACAGTTTCATAGATGTGCACTTCATAGCTCAATAAATATCTGTAGAATAAATAAATAATTAAATTAAACTTCCCTGTAAAGGAAAGTCTAAAACATAAAACTGTTAATGGGCATGGGACATATCTATATGTCATGGCATGAAGTCTGTGCTATACTCTTAAGTGATAAATATAGATTATAGAATAGTCTGAATAAAATGACCCCATTTATAAAACAAAACAAACGAATATGAATAAATATATTTTCATGAAAACATCTTGAAAAATGTAATTCAAACTATTAACAATGGTTGCCTCTGAGAACATTCACCTTCTCTTCATATTAATACATTTTTGCCATTGTTTGAGTTTTTACTGTCTATTTTATATACACTGCATTATTTAAATTGTTTACAGTAAATAGCTATTATTTTTATAGGGACATGGAGTAATGAAAAGCAATAAAATTAAATATACTTTAAGGAAAAGACTCTCTCTAAAACGCTTAACAAACTATTTTTCCTCCAATGCATACTACTTCCTTAGTTCAGATCTTTGTCATTTATAACCTAGACCAGAATTCAGCAAGCTTTTCATATAAAGAATCATATCATAAATATGTTATGCAACGTTTTCACAGCCACTCAATTCTATTGTTGTAGCTTGAAAGCACCTTGAGTAACACCTAAACTAACGGGTATATCTGTGTTCAATAAAACCTAAGTAATAAAACAGGAGATGGGCCAGCCCCTTAGTCATTGTTTCTTGACTCCTAAAAATGCCTGAAGTTCCCCAATTCAACCACCAATTCTTTTCTACTCACTCTCATGTATCTGACACTTTTCCTACATATGTCATGTAATTTCTTCCCACCCTATGTTTTTGCTTAAGTCTTACTGGTCTAGAAAACTCCTAGATTCTTGGTGACTTTAAGATGATTATTTTTAAGCCCTGAATAGATTTTATACCCAAATAAATAAAATGGACTACACTTTGTTCAGTGCTTCCACAGTCTTTCTACATATCTTGATTAGCACCTTATAATGATTTCCTTATGTGCCTCCACGTTAGACATGAAAACTGAAACTATACTTTTGAATTCCTGGAGCCTATAACAAGACAGGGCAAAGAGCAGGCATTCAGAAATGTTTGCTGAGTTAATAGAGAGATATCTCTTTGGCCTCTTAGGCTTTCAAATTAGACACAGAAAATTGCTTCTCTTAGCAGTTCTCATTTTCCTTTCTTGATCAGAACAATCAATACCTGGAAGTTGAATCTTTCTCGCTTACTTTCCACATTTCTGCACAATTTAATGTCTACAGCAAATAAGACCATATAGCTAATATCAACTTTTTAAATCTCATTTGTCATCTGACCCAAAGCAATGCTCTAAGTAGCATTTACAAGTAAAGACATTAAGGGTATAGTTCACCTTTGCTCTCTGATCCTATTTATAAGGATTTCTTATAGCCCAGGTTTACTATAGCTAGGTTTACTAGATGATGAGCTACTTGACTATAGGAACTTTATTTCTGAAAAGTTAAGAAATATTTAGTGCATAAGTGAATGGGTAACTAGGTTACAACCTGAAAGCTCAAAACAGTCCCATCTATGCTTGGGACAATTTCACAGGGTTTGTACACAGGAGACATCTTACTTTATATAGAATAATCAATTACCTTATATAAAAAAAACAGTTATGGGCTCACTGTATGTTATATACCTTCATTTATATTATTCAATTTAATTCTTCACACCTTTAGATGGCTAATGTCATTAATTTGCTAATGAGAAAACTGAGGCTAAGAGATGTTAAGTAGCTTTCCAAGTGTCATAGTAAACAAAGAAATACAGGCCAGGCACTATGGATCACACCTGTAATTCCAATACTTTGGGAGACCCAGGTGGGTAGATTACTTTAGTCCAGGAGTTCAAGATCAGCCTGGGCAACATAGTGAGAACTTGTCTCTATAAAAAATAAGAAATTAGCCAGGTGTGGTGGCGTCTGCCTGTAGTCCCAGCCACTTGGGAGGCTGAAGTGGGATGAATGCCTGAGCCCACGAGTTTCAGGTTGCAATGAGCTGTGATTGTGCCACTGTACTGTACTCCAGCCAGTGCAACAGAGCAAGACTCTGTCTCAAACAAATAAAAAGCCACAAGTGGACAAAGCTCGGTCTCCAACTCTATCCTTTAGATTCTAAGTCCTGTAGTTTTTTCTCACACATGGCTTGTTTTCATCTCCCTTTGATTCTTAACATTTGTTAAAAGCCATTTTATGCCATTTATAATTAGTTCTTGAACTATCCTATCAAGTCCTGGGGCTTTTGCACCTGACTTTCTGCTAAACAATATGGTTAATATATCAAGCCATTGTTAAAAGGGGTTCAAAAATTTGCATATTGAACATTTAAAAAATATTCAGAATAGACAATTAAAAGTTTTAAGTACTACTATTTACAGAGCTTTATTGGATGGATGGTCCCTGGATTTTGACTACCAGTCAGATGGACCAAACCAAGATGACTTACATCTGGACTGAATAAATATCCATCCACAGCAAGGCAGGTGAACGGACTAGACCTGTTCAGACCAGACATGGTCAGCATAGGTCAATGTCAGTTATAATATCAGGAAAATTCAACAGTAGGTGAGATCTCCAGTAGATGTACAAAACATAGCAATAGAAGGGCCACAGGTATACTCATCATTCAATAGATGAGTAATTGAAGACCCTCATAGGGATAAAGACTGAATGGTGAACAAACAAGCAAACAAAAAAGAAGCTGAGCTCCATAGGAGCTAGCATACTATATCTTAGAAACAAGTCAGAGACTCAGGCATAGGGGAACCAGACAATATGTCAGAGATGAGAACTGGGATGCAAAATCAAAGTGATACAAACTAACATCATGACTTAGGTCCTTCCCATTTTATTTGCCCGAGGGCCAAAAAATTTCAAGCAGTTATACAGGTCAGAATCTCTCGGTGACATACATAATCCTCCAGCTATGAAGAGAGAGGAAAAACAAGCAGAAATTACAATACCCATCTGTATAAATTTCTCTTCTAGTGTGTTCATGTGTCCATTTTCTTACATAAGAAAGAATTCTTATGTAAGAAATTCTATCTTATCTTTCCCCTACCTGCCTGACTCTCCTTTTTCCTTACTCCTTACTGTTCAAAGGATTTACATAACCTAAGTACACTTTGAAGCATTGGTCTTAATTGTTAAGTAATGTTTCATATGTTTTTTTCTTATTCTCATTTTTAAAAATAATTGAATAGTTTACATTTCATTATGAAAAGGATATAAATTCAATTTATTTTGTTGCTTTTGTTCAATAGCCCTCTATAGAATTCCTAACTCTGCCTTATTATTTTTAATAATAAAATAAAACTGATTTATTTTATTCACTAAACTGAAAATTGCAATTAATTCAAACCACACAAGATGAGTTTTTTAAAAATCTCTACATTCCAAAAAATTAAGAGTATACATGCTCCTAAATATTCACAAATGATGAAAGAGTAATTATTGTGCATTCACTTGATGAAATATTATGCACTGATTAAAATGATATTTTAAAATGCTAAGAACCAGATAAACAAATGCTTATATTTAAAAACATAAATCTGAATGCATGACTACAACTAGATAAAATTTTTGTAATCATCTGGACAAAAATATTTAGAGACTGGAAAAAAATATATGTATATGGTTCATAGGGAAGCAGAAAGGTAAATGGTAAATTAGATTTTATTTTTTGGTATGATAATGTTACTTGGGCAATTAATTATATTTCTTGAAATAAAATGTATATTTCACACATATATTCCTTTATATATTTATTGAAATGGTGCATGAGCTCACTGAACATATAGCCAATTTCATAGAGCTAATACCTTAAAAATGCTCAACTGTTCAGCTATGATACTTTTAAAGTATTCTAAATAATCTAATATCTTTAGGAAATGAAACCATAACCTTATGTATCTAAAAAAAAAAGTTCATCCATAATAGAAATGATAAAGTAAGGCATCACTCAAAATGGTTAGATCAAAATGAATTGAGTTCCAGGTAAATCTCCATCTATGAGCCCCAATTACCCCTATTTCCCAACTCTAGCTTTCCTCATCCTCCTGAAATAACAAATAACCATTGTTTGTTTATATTTGGGGTTTGAAATTCATCTGCAGTCCTCAATATTCCTGCAGAAAACACCAAAAGACTAACTTTTTGCATTTAATCTGCTTTCTGATGTGTCATTTTTTTGTTTCTAATTTAAATGCACTTAAATCCTACACAAAATTACATTCTGATTCTATATTCACTTATCTTTTATTTCTTAAAAGTAGTTTTCCTTCCTTTGAGTTTATAGTAGCAGTCTGATAAATGCTGCTTACATGTGCAATTTTATTAAATTAATACACATTCAGTGGAAACTTTCAGATATGATTATTTTACCACTCATAATATATAATTTGTTTCCTTTGAGAAAACATTTATTCTTCCAAAAAGTAACTTCAATAAAATACAATAGCTTAATATTGAATACATGGATAGACTCTTCATTGTGAAGAAATAAAAATGCATATTAAAAATATAAACTTTTCCCATAAGAACTTCCTAAAAATCAGTTATAAAAAGCTGAAGCAAAAGGGATTTTTATAATAGTATTAAAATTTGCGGCAGCTTAAACTGAAATAAGATTCTGTATGAAAATAGTTGCTTATTGCTTATATCTTCAGATTCATTGCTACTATATTGTTTTGGCTTCTAGCTACGACCTAGTTTTCATTTGTTTTTATGCTTTGTTTTTTTTTAATCTTATGGCAAAATACAAAATACTGAAAAAAAGTTTAAATAACCTCAAGGATGTTAATGTCAATGATACTAGAAACAACTGAGTTTTAGTGAGTATAAATTTGGGGTGGTACCTCTAATGCAGTAGCATGCTGGGTATATTCAGCCACAGCAAGGAGGCAGAATGAATGGAGCAAGAGTGAGACTGAGAGGATGAGTATAGGATATAAGATCAAAAGATAACCAAGAAGACATAG